TGCCATGGGGGGAGATCGCTTTATATTCCCTAACACTATACTTATACTGTGTCTGGTCAGCTCTTCAGCACCAGACTCTCCATCTGCAGCTAAATAATTCCGGAAATAAATTCCATTCACTTTGTGTCTCCTAGAGCTGCCTGATGAACCACGAGACCAGCGGTTCCCAAAGTGGGGGGACGGCCCCCTCCAGGGGCTGCAAAGCTATTGCAGGGCAATTTAGCACTCAATGTTTCTCAACGTATTTGACACACTTTTAATTACTGCAGCGTCAGGAGTTTTTTAAGGTAAGGAGGAGTTTTTTGAGGTTAGGATTATCTGACTATTTAGCAGCTAAACACACTGCTACACACTGTACAATTAAATAGTACTACAAACTTAAATGAAATTCCCAAGCTACAATTACCAACGGAATGACTCACCTAGTCCTAATTGGCATCAGTTCCCCACGTGTTTCACTAGAGGGCTTCAAAGTACCTCGAGTGGTATGCATGCTATAAATTCAAATGTCCTTATAGAATAAGGTCCGGTAGATAAGGTTAAGGTTTGATTCGTGGTCTTGATGCCTGGCTGTACACACGTGCCTGGTTGAGCTCAGGCAGAGTAATTGAACCGGCAGTCACACTGACTCTGATGGTGGGAGAAGTTAAACCAGGACAGTCTGATGAGAAACAGTCGACTCTACTGTGACTGCACTGGAGGAGGGAGGGTGGAGATCCAGGGCTCGTTGGAATGCTGCACTGCCAGCCTCAATAGAAGCACAACACAGTTCTAGAAAAGTGTGTACACTGGAAAAATACAATGAAAAGTTGGAATGTGTTTTTTTTTGTTTGTTTTTTTACAGACGAATCGTGTTGTATTTGTTTAGTTCTGCAAATCACTCACACAGAAGTCAAACTGATCTCAGATTACAAGGGGAAAAGGTAACAGACAAATCACTCACACAGAAGTCAAACTGATTACAAGGGGAAAAGGTAACAGATCTGGGAATAAAAGGAGCATTTCAGGGACACGGTGCTCCTCCTTTTTTAAACATTTAGTGACTGGACTGTAGCAGTCCAGATCTAGAACCTTCTAAAGGACAGACTCAGTTCAGAATCACATGTAAAACAGAATCAGAAGTTGATAGATGACTGGAAATGTTGACGTTAGTCTAACAGTCAAACCTTGGAGTGTTTTTTGCAGGAACCAACTTCTAAATGGGTTCAGGGTCAACTCATAGAATCGAGCTGTTCATTCAGAACCTCCTGTGCAAAGTTCCACTTTGACAAATTCATGTTTTACAGCAGTGTACCAACTTTTCTGGACATGTGGTCTGTTTGGGTCATCAGTAGATCTTTAGTCTGACCATGGAAGTCATGGCTTCTTCCTATACTACAGTGCTGTGGTACTGCATTCAGAGGTTTGAATCCCAGACCAGGACCTACTGACCTACTGTTGATTCTCAGTATACCCCATGAAAATAAACTTCTGGGCCTACCTCAGACAAAAGTGTTGGCAAAACCAGGTCTGCTTCGTGAGCCGAGGGCCAGGAGACTGAGCTGAGAAATGAACCACTGCAACAAGATGATAAATGAGGGGTGAAGAGAAGATGGAACGACTGGACGTTCCTGTGTCAGAATCAATGCAGAGCGGAGAGACGTGATGTACACACACACACAAACACATCTACATGTATACACACAATCACACACACACACACACATAGATGTATACACACACATCACATGCACAAACATACACACACTATTATCATCGCACATGTCATGTGACCCTTTCCATAAAAACTGAAACATGCAGCTTCAGCTGATTACAGCCAATAAAGCATGTCTTATCTACGGGGGCTGCCATGTTGGATCGCCATGGTGTCACTCACTGTGAAAAGCTAACATTTATTCTTCTACCTAACTGGACCATAATGTACAGATGAGGTACATGTTCCTCCTAGACAATACAGATAAATCACATTGGACCTTAATTATTTTGTTTTCTGTATTTATGTCTAATTGGAGATGTTTAAGTTAATCTTAGCTATAACTCCAAATCTAAACAGTCTGTCCACTTAGTGGACAACATCATCAGCAAAGAAAATCTACATCCATTCTGGTCTATTGTATTTTTATTTTTTTATATAAAGATACCCACAGTTGCTAATATCAGCCATTTTAACTTCCAAACTGTGGGAGTAGTTGATCGCCTGCTGCCTCTAGTGGTGAAGTTCATAACTACACGAGTTTAATGAGGCAGTAGTGGACCAGTTTCTACTTTATAGTTTGTTTGGGGGTGTTTTTTTTCTAATGACTATAACGACTTCTGTTCAGAAGTCTAAAACACCTTGACATACAGCACATCGGTGTATTCATTTATTTGTTAAGTTGCTAAAATCTGTTATTTCAGAATAAAATGAAGTATTCTTTCAAGGTATAAAATGCTTAAAGTGAGAAAAAGAACAAAATCATTGTGTTCTCTGCACTGAGTTCTACGTATAAACAAAACCTGACTGAGATCTGATAAAGAACACGTTTGGAGAAGTTCCTTAGAGCATGTGACTTTATGCTTGTTTTTACTGCATTTTCACGTCTTTTCTTACTTTTTTTTTTAACTTCACTGTTTTTTGTTGTAGACTGAAGGTCACTGCCTAAGGAGACAATAATTCCTCCTGACTCAGGAATCAAGCAGCTGTTTGTCCTTGAATGAAACTAAGCTGGACGAAGCAGAATGTTACGTGTCTGGCTCCACCTAGTGGATAAACAGCTTAAAGGTACAGCTGTAAACACCGATACATTGTCCTCAAACGTGAGTTCAAGCTCAACAGAGGATCACGTGTCCAGAAGAATTGTAAATGACTTTTATTAGTGGACATTTATTGCTTCATATACACACGTACACACACGCACACACACACACACACACACAGAGAAAGTGCATTGCTTTAAAATAAAATGCTTTGAAATAAAAACATGTGCATGGCATTAAAAAGTCATAGGGGAGAATTGACAGCAACACATTACAAAAAACAGACAGAAAAATCAACAAGTCTATGTTTCCTCCTTCAGATATTGCAGCTGCCAAGTCTAATTCACTTCAAATCTTACCTTCAATTGATACACAGAAGGGAAAAAAAAACAACAAAAACTTTTCAGCTCAGTGATGCAAAATTCTGCACAAAAAACAACTTTACAACTATATGTGTGCATCTCTAAATGACTGGAGAACAGAACCTTAGATTCCTGGTTACGTGACATTAACCAATGCTAAATTCACACACACTGCTGCAGTGGAGGACTTTACATCACTGAGAAGATCATGCTCTGTACTGTACTGTGAAAATGTTTAAGAGCCACACAATAACCAAAGAAATCTCAATCCGTACATTAAAAACGGACAGGCAAAACAATGGACTAGGGGAGTTAAAGTGCAGTCTATCAGAAGACATTTGGTACCATTAAAATAGTGGGAAAATAGGAAGAAAATAAAAATTGTTATGAATAGTCCTGGTTTGTGTCCTAAGACTTTTGCACAGTACTGTATTTTTTACATATTTCAAATTCAAATTGAAACGTTTTCTTTTCTCATATACTATACTCACTATGGTCCTTTGTTATCCTTTATTTTTTTCCTAAAGGAGAAACCTGAAAGTTTTTCAACACACAGTCCTGTTGTTTACTGTTAGTAAACAAGAATTTAGTTCACATTAGTTACTGTAACAGCTCAAAATATTATTACAAATGACATGCAACATGAATCACTTTTTAAAGTCACCACTGTGCACATTTAACTCCTGGTGAATGAAGCGTATCAACCCAGTGTTGGTACCAAGAGCCACATACCTCTGTTCACCTTCAGTCTCTTCCAGTAAAGCTGTTCAGAACTGCTGCATCCAGGGACCTGCTTATAACGAGTCAGATTTAGACACAGGCTACGAGTACGCGATTCAGAGCAAAGACAAAATAGTATCGGAGCACAGAGCAACGTCTCAAGATCCTAACAATTTGTCGGGTCAATACCACCGCTAGAACAGACTGAAGAAAACAGTAGTATATGCTTCAAACAAGAACATCATTTTACTGTGTGAAATATGCACAGTGGTACCTTGCTTGAAACCAGTTCATGTTGCATTGCATTTGCAATACAGTATTTTTCAGAATATTTGAAGAACAATTGCACAAAAACAACAATCTCCTGTGTGTTAAAAACGATTAGATTTCACCTTTGAGTGGTTCCCTATCACTGATCAGTCGTCCTCATGGTCATTGAACACATTCATTACACTGTCCACACTGTCCTCTCTGTATGAACACCTTAGAGTCTCCTTCATTCACTCACAGCAGACAGTGAAAACCTACTTCATCATTCACACCATCTGAGCTCCTGAGGTAAAAAAAAAAGGCAGGTTAAAGACAGTAAGAGCAGATCTGATATGGACATTAAAAAACACTTCACACATTTCTATTCAGGCTACATTTGCTCTGAGAGCAGAATACTGAAATGCAATAAATAAAGAGTTAAATTGATTAAAACTACTGTTAAGTTACATCAACATTTCACACAAATTCACTGAAGACCTCCCAGGTCAACTGGGACACACTTCATCATCATAGAACCCAGAGTCGTTCTCACCCTTTTTTCCCTCTCCTTTATCATGTTCAGTGTAGGTGAGCGACTCTGCAGTTCCTGTGGTCAAACAAAACAACTTCTCCTCTGTCCGTAGTCTCTGCAGCTCCAGCCACGTTCATCCAATGTTCCACTGTAGAGTTCAAACCAGAGCTGCTGCCTCTGGTGAGTGTTAGTGGCTGAAGTGAAAAGAAAAGAATCCTTCTGCAGGATTCACTACAAACCTCAAAAGTTTGTTCACCTGTGGGAGAGAGATCCTGAGTGACAGTGGTTAAAATGATCTACTGAGCACAAACACAGAGGTCATCTCAGGTGTTCATCTGTCTCAAATCATCAGACACCATTGTATAAAAGAACTATGACACAACAACACTGCTGCAGTCAGAGGCCTCCGCTCAGTCAACACTCTCTGTTTCTGTGCAGCAGCAGCCGGGTATCTGTTGCTCAGCTACAACCTCGGCCTGGGGTGTGCATGAAAACCAGCACAGATGGCGCCCTCGTGTGGCCGTTGTGGATGCAGGGGAGCAGCTCCATTGTCCAACAGATGCTGGTCACTTCACGTGTCGGCCCTTGGCTGAAGCAGCAGTGCTGAAAGCCGAGCCCAGATGTCTCCTGTGGATCCTCCAGTGCTGGCGCAGCACAAAGTCAAAGTTGGCAGTGGTGCACATGGCATAATATACATTGGCTTTGTCAGGGATCTGGAGCTCTGAGGCAGAGAGAGGAAGCAGGGGATGAGATGTTTCAAGGTTGCTTCAAGTTCCTTCTAGATGAACAGTGAATGCTAACTCCACCAACTGTGCTTCCACACAGGCACACACCAGCACCACCCTGTTCTGGCTCTGGTTCTATCCAGAACTCCAATGCTGTGAATAAACTGGACTGTGTCTACACCACGGTCGTCATGTCACTGACTGCACCCTTTCTACACTTCTCCTCAATGGGTGTTGAAGATTTTCTGATTTTTCTTTGAAACACTTTGTGAGCTGACGTCACGATAAACAGAAAACTGATGTGTGTTTAACATGATGTCACTCACTTCAGATCTAAATCCTCTTTGTTCCACTCTTCACTACATGACTTTTCAAGATGTTTGCCTTTAATATTTGATGCAGCAAAAGTAGATTTTGTTGTGAAAACCACCAAACTAATGTATTTAAAGTGTAAAAGTGAGGGCTGTTTGAACATGTGGGTGAAGAACCAGGACTGTACTGGAGCTGTGCCAGTGTGAAAGACAAAAAAAAAAATACTGCAATAAACCAACAACAGCTAGTTAAAAAAAACCCTACTGCAATAAACCAACAACAGCTAGTTTAAAAAAAACCCAAAAAAACAGGTGTGTCTGAAATGGATTTTTTTTAAAACACAGCCACAGAAAAAAAAGAAGAATTTTAAAACTTAGTCTTCCTCTCAAATCTACATGAGGAGATAATCACTTTTCCGTTGTTAAGCATCTGAAAGAGCGTGAAGTCGAGGTAGTTAACGTCCTCCATGTTGTGTTTCTCCAGAGCTCTCTGAACCACCTGGGGCGTGTGGTCCTGACTGGTCACCTGTAGGTGAGGCAGAACATCACAGGGAGAGTCAGTA